TTGAAACTAGTCGTCTTCTTTTCCATTAACATCCTTATATCAAGAAATTCAGACCTATCTTTTCTTAATTTCTCAATAAGAGAGAGAAGTTACCCGAGTGCACTTTTCTTGTTTTCATAACAAAATGCTAAAAGTTGATGGGTTACTAGAACCTATAGTGATAAAAGCTCTTATTAAAGGAATAAAGAATGCTAACTTATGGAGAAAACTCGTGCCCTTCATAACATGAATCTCTAATGATTAAAAGAAGATTGTGGAAAGCAACATCCGATAAAAGAGGATATTGCAGCTATAAAAGTGCATCCTTGCTTTTAAAAGCTTATAGAAAACAAAAAAGAAGAGAAAGATCTCTACAAGCAAGCCTATTCTAGTCTACACAAGAACCCTAAAAGGCTAATTCGTAATTGTGTAGTCTTTTTTAAAACTCCAAACTATGCCATTGAATACAATCTAAAGAAAAGTATTTGTTTATATTTAAAAGATAGATATGTAAATCATGCACTTTAACAATAGGTTTCTCACATCTTTACGTCTTAAAACATACTATTATTACCATCAAGACAATGGTCATGACACGGAGAATTTTCATGTCTTAAAAGAAGAAGTTAAAAGACTAATCATTGGTTTATATCTCAAGAAATTTCTAAGGATGACCTTTAATCTAAAACTAATCAAATTAGAGCCAAACCATCTCCAAAACGATGTCCTATAAGTCGTTATCATATTGAAAGGATAACTAACTTAGAATGTGCCTAACCAAGGGGAGAAAATGGATGAGGACATGGTCCTCACCACCACTCAAACTACATTGTCGTGACAATCAATTCTATTCTAACCTAAAGATGCGAAGGTATGAACTACCTCCACAATGACTCCTCAATCATCTCTCGCCATTCTCTTTAGTCATAAGGTCTATCACATCTTAGTAGATGATATAAGTGTGGTGAATATATTATCACATGTCCATATTAAAGAACATCATCGTGCTTCCCATTTTTATAGTCGTAAGGGTCAATTTGACATATAATATTATCTATAGGAGGCCTATCTTGCATGAAATAAACATTGTAACTCGCATATGGTATTTGATGATTATAATAGATAAATCATATATTAGTGATGCAAGGAGAAAAAGTGGGTAATTTTTTTAAATCAAAGTTCTATTTAAAGTGTGATCCAAAGTTAACGAAGACATGATGAAAAATAATTATAAAATACACATTATTTAAGAATGTACGATAAATATTGAGTTGTCAAGCTTTCTTTTACATGAAATAAACATTATAAATTTGATGTAAAATACCTTTGAAAGGATTATGGCTTTATATATGCACGTGTGTGTGTGCGTTAAATTTTTTTATTTAAGAAAACAAAAAAAGAAAGAAAATATAATAGATTTACATGAAGTGTGATTAGAAGATCTTTTTGGTAAGAAAAACATGCTTAAAATAAATATGGGTTACTCGAAAGGGAAAACAAATACTAATAAATTGATTGAATATTATGTAAATAGATGCATGTGACATATTCCAAGTTACAAGTTTTTTGGCCGGTTATAGGAATGTACAAATCCTAGGTGTTGTTTTGGTAATAACAAATAAAATGGGGAGAATGAAAATTAAATTTTTATTCTCACTTCATATATGTTTGGTTAAAAGAAATGAAGGGTGGAAATATGGATGAAAAATACACACAATTTCATTTCTATTAGAGGAGGTGAATAAAAATAAAAAACAAGAATAAAATCTTTTTTTCTTTTCAAAATAGTGATATATTGGATTTTATTTATTATGTATTTTTACCACCATCGCTACCACCACCATTGACACCACCGTCACCATCATTATTTCTAGTGGTGATGAAAAAAATAAAAAAAAATATTATTATTATTACCTTGTCACTACTTCTCTTCTATCATCATCACTACTTTTAGTATATCACAATCACAACTATTTTTTTCTATTGTTACCTATTATGGTGGTGACATCAATTTTTTAAAAAATATATATTATTACTATTACTATGCTATTATTATTAGCAACTCTTCTTCATCCTCCACCACTAGGAATGACGATGGCCATCTCGCCCTCGCCCCGTCCCTAAAAAACTCCACTCCGTCCTTGCCCTATACCCTGTGTGGGGTAATATTTCCCCTACCGTCCCCATCCTTGATAAGGACGGGGATCCCGTGCCTCGCTTCATTCTTTACGCTCGTATTGCTCCATTCTACCTCATATTAACTTGTATCAAATTTCAAACTATAGCAAAAAGATAATAGCCTATATAAAAAATAAAATTAAAAAAGACAATCATCTAACATTATATTTAATTACAAGTTTACAACACAAATCATAATATATTAAGTTGTTTTCAATTGAATAAATAATATACTTAATTAAGTTGATGAAATATTACAAATGCAATTAAAAAAACATAAATCCTTGCGTGTCTTTACTCGCTTAGAGATCATAAAAGCTCACTTATTATATCGGAAACTAGTTTCTAACCTTAGAATTTATATGTATGTTAGATACAATTGTAATTTATAAAGGAAAGGACGAGGCGGGGATGCTAAGGCCGGGCGAGGTGGGTAAATATCATCCTCACCCCTTCCTCGTTCAAAGTTAATGCTCTCATCTTGTTCCATAGTTAACTCGAAGAATCCTCGTGTTGACCGAGGCAGAAAAAGACGGAGCAAATTGCCATCCCTATCCACCACAACCGTCATTACAAATCACTTTTTTTTTTTTACTATCATTATAATTTATTAAAATATTTTTTAATTAATATTTTTGTTTATTTTTAAAACTTGATATTAAAAACTTTAAATTTTATTTTGATTTCTTATATTCTAAACAAAACATTGAAATGATAATGTAATTTCCATTCCTGCATTTTTACTAGCCAAAAACACTCCGGTGATTCTAAATTTCTAATGTTTTGGCTACCTTTCACAACCCATAAATGCTCCCACCCCCCACCCCTTGCCCCCCTCACAATGGGCATTGGCTCCGACGGAACAGCCAAAAAGTTTATTCCTTACTTTATAATCTTGGGTTCGAATCCATTGATTAAATGCTAAGCTTAAACACGAATAACATGCCTAATATTCATTTTTAAAAAAGGTGTTTTTGGTGGAATGTTTTTTTTTTTGATAACAAGATGGCTTTGAATCTTAATTTCCTGGGAATAAAAAACATTTTTCATCTCATTCACCAAAATAAGATACCCTACGCTATGTGGGCTCGTATATACATGTCAGCTTTTTATTCGTAACTTATTTGAAAACAAAAGATTAGAATTGTCAACGTTTCGTTTTCATCAAATGAATATTATAAATTTGATGCAAAATACCCCTCGGAAGGATGATGTAATTCTACAGTAAAAAAGAATGCTTGAAAACAGGGAGAAAGGACGATACATTTGCATAGGGTGTGATTGGAAGAACTTTTTGGTAACCAAAGCATGGTTAAAATGAAACACGTGCTAGTTCAAAAAAGGGAAAAACAAACATTGCTAATTTATGAACATTAAACATCATTTGAAAAGAATTTTAGTTTTAATTGACTAATAATTTAGTTTAAAACTACATTTATCAAAAAAGAAAAAAATACAGTCATATGACGTTTAAAAATTACAAGAAGTCTCTTAAATTGTTTAATTGGATGACCATATATATATATATATATATTGAGTTTGAAAGGTGGTTGGATAAAGAATTTAAATTTCAAAATTATCTAACTATTTGTAATTATCAATAACTAATTATTAAAAAGAATTGAAAACGATTGACTTTTGATTTCACCCATCATGATTGAAATAAGGATTCACATTTGATACAGTCTTCATTTTTCTTCAAGTTAAAAATAAAGAAAGAGCCATACACGCATTTAGATTACGCTTTACAAGTTTTTAGGGAAACAAAAAAAACAGAGGATAAAAAATAATATTAAGTCGCAATCTTCCTTAAATAATAAAAGAATAATATCTTTACTCTGATTACGAAAAATTATTATAGTAAGTAGACTGAATTACATTCTCAGAACAACAAAAGAAATACATTGAATTAAGCACACAAGATGAATTATTAATTAGAATAAAGGCAAACCTTCCAAATTCCCCTAACTATTGAGTTAGTAGCAATGTGACTTTCAATAATTTTTCATATCAATTTTTTTCTACTTTATAACTTTTATTTCTTAAATTAGAGCATTATTATTATTATTTTTTAACAAAAAAAATGTAAATTCTCTATAAAATGACGTCATTTATATAATTTATTAAAAACAAGAATTACAATTGGGATAAAATCAGTGATCAATTATAGATGAAAATATTTAATTGAAAGTTTCTAAATCTTGAAAATAAAACTGAGATCACCTATACAATTAGATTTGGAATTGGAGAGTATTCTAAGGTTCGCCCTTAGAATTTAGGATCATTAATGATAGCTAAAACAGGTTAAAAAGATTGCGGGGCAAAATGGAAGAAGCTCATAGCAGTCGTAATCTCGTCAAAACCACGCACAGAGAGAGAGAGAGGGAGGGCAAATAAGAGGCAGCGAAGATGGGAATCATGGCAAAGTCCAAAAGCAGCAAAAACAGCACTGAAAATTGGGGTATGGGCTTGCTTCTGGTCTTCTTCCCTGAAAACACCTCCTCCTCCTCCTCCCCCACCACCGCCGCCACTATTCCATTTTCCTCCTCCTCCTCTCCCTCCTCTTCACCAACACCAACACAAGCTACTTCAAGCTCCAATTTTAATTCATCAAAAATAATTAGAAGGACCAACTCAAACAGTCCCATAATCACCAAGACTCAATCCACCATCTCAATATGTGCTCTTTTACTCTTTCTCACTCTCCTCTTCTTCACTCTCTCAACTTTTGAACCAACCATCCCCACCCTTCCACCACCATTAGTATCAACAAAACCCCACGTAGATTCTTGTCTCAAAAGCCTCAAAACAAGTTTAAAACCACCAAAACCAGTTATTTATCTATGTTTGCAACAACATTTTGGCCAAAAGATAATAAAGGAAGTGAAAAGTTTCGTTCTTTATTTGCTTTACAAGGAATGGGCAAGCTTTACAGGCGAGGGACGAGAGCAATGAGTGATCTTGTTGTTGCTCATGTAATGGAAGAGACTAAGGAAGCTGAGTTTAGGCTCTTTTTAAGAGTCTTGCATCGGTCAGGTCTCACAGCAAGAGCTGATGTTGTTTTTGTTTTTCCTTTTTCGTTATTTGCTTCCAGATTTGAATCACTGATTCAAGAAGAGAATGACTTGTTCTTGAGCCTGGTTAATTATTATAAACAATTGAAAAGAACGAGTCATGACGCGGTGTCGGCGACGAGTTTTGATGTGTCTCAGTTTTTGAGGAGTGGAAAGAAGCAGATGGGAGAGCCTCTGTGGGGGAAGAGAATTAGAGGTAACGGTAATGGAAATTTCAGTGAATCGGGAAGGGGTGAAGGCGAGTCGACTCGGTTGAGCTATGGCTCTGTGGTGGGTTTTGAAGCGAGCGAACTTGACCCGGAAAACTCACTTGCTGGGTTTTTAGACCATGTGCCAATGAGTTTGAGAAGATGGGCTTGCTATCCGATGTTACTTGGTCGAGTTAGGAGGAATTTTAGGCACGTAATGTTGGTGGACGTGAAAAATTTGGTACTATTCAGTGACCCACTCGGCCGAATCAGGAACCGGAGTCCAGAGTCGGTGTATATTAGCACAAAACAAGAAAGCTGTTCAAGCAAGCATAGTAGGAAAAACTCGGAGAAAACTCAGTCTCATTGTCAAGTCAACTCAGCGATTTTGATGGGTGGAGCAAGGGGAATCCGGAGGTTGTCTAATGCAATGTTAACAGAAATTGCTCGAGTTGCGATGCAACACAAGAAGAAGAGCTCAGTCACCGAGTCAGGGATTTTAAGTCAACTGGTGGGGAATGGTCATATATTGAAGAACATTGATATGATTAGATGGACTGAGTCAATCCCGGGTATGAGTTCACTCTCTGGATCAAACACGTCTTTGTGGAATAATTATAGAATAATCCATCGTGGTGGTAATACCAATCATGACATTAATTCAATTATTATGAAGCAAATTTGTTCACGTGAAGTAGAATCTTCTGTTTATAGGGATTGTTGATTAGTAAATCATAGAGAGGAAATATATATAATTTTTTTTTGTTTTTTGAAAAAAAAAATGCATAATTTTGTCATTTATTATGTTTGATTTTTCTTAATCCCCAATTGGGTTTGTTTTTACATGTAAATGACGTTGTTGAAAATACTATTTAATTTTTTTAAAATATTACTGAAATTTTTGGAATGGGAATGTTAATTACTATATGTTTTGTACAAGTGATATCAGCGACAAATCCAGGCAACTTTAATAATTGCTATATGTTAATTACTATATGTTTTGTCTTACGAGAAGGTGAATGTGCTAAACTGGAAAATAAATGTAATGGTATCCCAAAAATCTCGTAAAAAATTACGCTCTTGGTCAACTTTAATAATTATATTCCTAAATTTTGGCCAAGAATTTGTTCATGTGCTTGATGGATCGTTAATTGCCTAAAAAGGGTGCAATAAATAACCCTTAATTATGCACGCTAATGTTCCCTCCAAAATGACCCATTAGTAAAGAATGGATCTTTGTAGTCAAAAAATGGTGAAAGAAAGGGCTGGACGGTAGACACTTAATTGCTGCTTATTTCTAGATAAAGAAATTATAAAGGGGAAGAGAATCATGGAGAGAATGTGAAGCAACTACGCGTAGGGAGATGTGTTAAACCCCATTTGCTCGTGGTCTTCTTCTTCAGGTTGTTTTCAAGACATGAAAAGCAATCAAGCGTGTCTCTCAAGCACCTTTGCTTCCACTTTTGCCAGCTCTTGCCCAGCCCAACCCAACCCAATCCAACCAAACAAACCCAAGCTAGTAAATGTATTCACATGGGATTAGCAAAAAGAAGAAGAAAATGGGGGAAATGAGTGTGAGAATTAAATAAGGTTCTGAATTCTGATAAGTGTATAATGAATTGGGCAGTAGTAAAAAAGTGTGTGCAGAATGTTAGTCCCAATACTGATCTTTTTCTTTGCCAGGCAGACATGTTAAAAATTAGTCTTAACTAGTGGAATTACTTATTGCTTAAGTAAAGATAATATATTATTCTAAGTTGTGAAGGCCATGTTGCTTAGGTTTCCATTGGATACATGTTCATACACCCTTGCATGAGGGGTTGTTTATGCCATCATGCTTGGCTGGCTTAATTGCATTTTGGTGACTTTAGCAAGGAATTCCGCCTCGCTTCTTAAAATTTTTCATATCATTTTATTCTCAAATGAAAACGGAGATCCTCGCAAGATATCGATTCTCTATTTATTTTTATTTTTTTTCATCTTATTCTATTTTATTATTAAATTCAAACTATAATAAAAAAAATAATATTTCATATAAAAAATAAACCGTATCAATCAGTAGTTATGGATTTTATATAGAAAATAATTATAATTTAAAGGATGAAACAGAGCAAACAAAACGAGGTGGGCAAATACCATTCCCTTCCATCTCCCCTTAAAATTAATACTGGACGAGACATCCTGCTTCATTCTCCAATCAACTCAAAAAATCCCTATATTGATCGGGACAAGCTTCGTCGGAGCGGGATAAATTATCATCCTTAACTTTAGCCGTATGCAGTAGTATTATCATATTGAATATTTTAGTAGTAATTTTACTGATTCAATGCTGCTCCCATTGTGGAATTTCGTTGTGTTATGAGTCTGAATCTTAACTGATCTGAAGCAATTGTAGTTTTATTATTGCTGGATAGCATGAGCAAGTTTTTTATCCTATCGAATACGCATCATAAAGGTTTCATTGAAAGTTTGTATGTCGTTTAACAGACGTTTTCTGCAGCCAATTTAAAGAAGAGTTTTGCTATAAATAACAAAAATAAAGTCACGAATCATTCACAAATATAAAGAGTAGTAAGATATTATTAACAATAACTTTATTTCAACTTTTAGGTCATTTTCTAATCGTGACATAAAGGAGTAGTGTTGTACAAATTATTTTTTGCCCTTTAGGAACAGGGAAAATGTCCAAGAGTTTCTTAGTTTTCTTTTGATTCGCAAACTTCAACTTCAAATGACGATCAAAGTAATATTCTCTTTGTTTTGAAAAAATTATCCTCATTTGTATCTTTCTCAAAGGAGTTCTTTTGTCAAAACTTGAAATATTATATTTTCTTAAAACATCTTTAATTAAAATCTATTTTGGAAAAAAATTGTCCAAATACATCTTTTTATGGTTAATGCTTTTGTTGAGTTTAATTTAGGGAATTTTACCAAAATAAGTTACGTATGGACAAAAAATCATTAAGTTGATTTTCTTTAATTCGATAACGAAAATAATTTTTTCTTGGGGTTCTTTAGTAACAATTTTTTTTTCATATATATATATATATACACACTTTTAACATAAAAATTTTGCTAAATATCAAAATAATATGTATTGCAGGATTATATATAATGATTAATAAAGAGTAGTAATATATAATTAACAATGACTTTATTTGGTTCATTTTGTTTCATATTCTAATCGTGACATAAAAGAGTAGTGTTGCACAAATTTTGTCCTTAAGGAAAAGGGAAAATGTCCTAGAGTTTCTTAGTTTTCTTTTGATTCACAAACTTCAACTTCAAATGACATTCAAAGTAATATTCTCTTTGTTTTGAAAAAATTATCTTCATTTGTATCTTTCTTAAAGGATTTCTTCCGTCAAGACTTGAAATAGTATATTTTCTTAGAATATCTTTAATTAAATTCTATTTTGTAAAACAAATGTCCAAATACATCTTTTTATGGTTAATGCTTTTATTGAGTTTAATTTAGGTAACTTTACCAAAATAGGTAACATATGGGCAAAAAATCATTAAATTGATTTTCTTTAATTTGATAACGAAAATAAATTTTTTCTTGGGGTTCTTTAGTAACAAAATTTTTTTTTCATATATATATATATACACTTTTAACATAAAAATTTTGCAAAATATCAAAATCATATGTATTGCAGGATTAAATATAATGATTAATAATTCTAAAATATATATATATTTTAAAAATATATGAATAAATAATACTATTATAATATAATAATTAATATTTTTTTAATTGTGTAAAAAGTTAAAAAAATAATTTTTTTAAAACAGAAAGAATAGTAAAAATAATAGCCATGTTATTAAAGAAAAAGCATACATGGGGCATAGGACAAGGTCTATTACCTTATCGTCCGACATGGAATTTACTTTCGTGAAAATGACCCATAAAACAAACCCCATGTCCTTTTTTTCCCCCTTCACCAAGCAATGATTGTTCGGTTATACTTAATTACCAGAATAATTGACCAAAAAATTACTTTAGGAGATAAAAGATTACGGAGCATGATGAAAAGAGAGTTCGTAATTGCATAGTAATTCAACCAGTGCAAATTGTTTGAAGTCCATAAAGCTGAACATGTCATAAGGTCAATTTTCATTTCATTGGATGCTTTTTTGCTTTTAATTTTTCTCATTTTTGTAATTTTATCTCATTTTTATTTTGGTGAGAAAGGTAGTTTTATTGATGTCGACCACCAAGTTTAGTGACCACAAAAAAAAAAAAAAAAACCCACAATTTGTCTTATTAGAAGAATATATATATACCTTTTTTTCTTTATCAGAATTTAGATTTGCATTTTTTTTGATCAAATATAAAAAATCAGTATTCTTTCCCATAATTACAATGGAAATATTCTTTTTTTTAATATATCGAATATTTTATCAAAATGGAAATATTCTTCTTCTTGAATATTATAAAATTTCTCTAGCTCATGGTAATAATGAATAACTAAAACTTCGAAAATAGCCAATGAAATACCATGATTTTGCTGTGAAAACTGATTATTTCTAATTATCATTATCATTCAATTAAATCAAGGAGCAAGCTCGATTTTAATGTTGAAAGATAAGTTTGAGCTTTTTATCAAGGAAAAACAAAAAAGTTGGGGGACAAGTACTTTGGATTGCCTTGTCAATGGTACCCACACCTTTATACTTATACTTTGTGTTGTTTGTAACCCTAAACAATATCACATGAATTTTCTTTTTTAATCAATTGAAGATTTTGACATGTAATACAGACAAGGTTTCCACAATAAGGATTATACTCTAATCCTTGCTTTGCTATCAAACTTGACAAAATTTGCAAAAAAATATGATCTTTACTAATCTTTTCAATCTTTAAATGGATAATGATCTTCAAAATCAGAAAAAGTAGACTTAGAAAACTGACACAAGAATATCGCCAAACTACAGAACCAACCAAAAATGCATATCAAGTTTCCAAGAGCAAACAGAGCGGTCCAAAATCGTTGTTGAAATTTCTTACCCTGTGGTGCTTATCATCACCTACAAAGGACAAAGTCCTTGTGAAATCCTATTCACCCATCATAAAAAGGCCAGCCACCGACACTGAGAAGTGCCACGTGTCTTCACACAATTCCCACAATGACATCATTCACCTTTTTTTGATTGGATATGTGGTGGGAATGTTTCCATGCAGGACTTAAAGGCATGTTTTTAGCGTGAGAAGAACCAAGTGGAAACCCCACCATTTCTTTTGTCAGACAAAACTAAACTCAAGATGCAAGATTCTCGTACAAGATGGAAACTAGCCTACCAGAGAGGAGGAAAAAAAAAAAAAAAAAAATTCTAAACTTGATACAGCAGGCATTGGACTTAGCCTCCACTTTCATTTTTTGACATTTACGTGAAAGATTTGAATTTATTATTGAAAAATTTTATAATTCACAAAGACTAATTAGTTATGGATCTATTTTGAGGAAAGAGATAGATACATTTAATTATATCCGTATCTATCAAAAGTAATAAAAAAATTTTTATGTTTGTTTAATTTTTTTCTCCTGTTTTATTTATTTATTATTTTTATTTATTTTTTTCTCAAAATAAATATATAAAGTAACTAGTATGCATATTAATAGTTATTTTTTTTTTGTATTATAAAATTTTTCTTTACTGTTTGCTTAGCTTGATTTCTTCTTATGGTGCCTTTCCCATAGCATTGCATTTCCTTGGTACAAC